TGTAGTTTGGTGTCGTTTTGTGTAGTTGGTGTAGTTTGCGTGGTTGGTGTAGTTAGTGTAGTTGATGTAGTTACTGTAGATGGTGTAGTATGTGTAGTTGGTTTTAGTTTGTGTAGTTGGTGTAGTATATGTAGTTGGTGTAGTGAGTGTAGTATGTGTAGTTTGTGTAGTTGGTGTAGTTAATGTAGTTCGTGTAGTATGTGTAGTTGGTGTAGTATATGTAGTTGGTGTAGTATATGTAGTTGGTGTAGTATATGTAATTGGTGTAGCATATGTAGTTGGTGTAGTATGTGTAGTTGGTGTAGTTGTTACACAAAACTACACCACCTACATCAAACTACACCAACTGCACAACACTACACCAAACAACACCTACTAAACCAAACTACACCAAACTACACCAACCTACACTAATTACAATAACCTAAAAACAGCAATGCAACTAACTACAGCAACTTTGTATTTAACCACAACAACTACAGCTACCACACCAACTACAGCAACTACACTAACTACACCAACTACAGCTACTACAGCAACTACAGTAACTACACTAACAACACCAACTACAGCTACTACGCTAACTACAGCTACTACACCAACTACAGCCACTACAGCAACTACACTAACTACACCAACTACAGCAACTACACCAACTACAGGAACTACACTAACTACACCAACTACACTAACTACAGCAACTACACCAACTACAGCTACTACACCAACTACAGCAACTACACCAACTACAGCAACTACACCATCTACAGCAACTACACTAACTACACCAACTACAGCAACTACAATAACTACACCAACTACAGCTACTACACCAACTACAGATACTACAGTAACTACATCAACTACAGCAACTACACCAGCTACATTAACTACACCAACTAGAGCAACTACACCAACTACAACAACTACAGCTACTATACCAACTACAGCAACTACACTAACTACAGCTACTACACCAACTACAGCTACTACTCCAACTACAGCAACTACAGTAACTACATGAACTACAGCAACTACATTAACTACAGCAACTACAGCAACTACACCAACTATATCTACTACACCAAGTACAGTAACTACACGAACTACAGTAACTACACCAACTACACCAACTACAGCTACTACACCAACTACAGCCACTACGCCAGCTATAGCAACTACAGTAACTACACCAACTACACTAACTACATCAACTACACCAACTACACTAACTACATCAACTACACCAACTACAGCAACTACACTAACTACACCAACTACAGCAACTACACTAACTACACTAATTACAGCTACTACACCAACTACAGCAACTACGCCAACTACAGCTACTACACCAACTACACCTACTACAGCTACTACTCCAACTACACTAACTACACCAACTACAGCTACTGCACCAACTACAGCTACTACAGCAACTACAGCAACTACAGCAACTACATCAACTACAGCAACTACACCAACCACAGCAACTACACCAACTACAGCAACTACACCAACTACACTAGCTACACCTACTACAGCTACTACAGCTTCTACACCAACTACACCAACTACACCAACTACACCAACTACAGCTACTACACCAACTACACCAACTACAGTAACTACATCAACTACAGGAACTAACTACAGCAACTACACCAACTACAGCAACTACAGCAACTACAGCCACTACACCAACTACACTAGCTACACCAACTACACTAACTACAGCAATTACAGTAACTACAGCAATTATTTCAACATTCTCATAGTGGGCTTAGTGGTCTCTTAATGTCTCTATATTCGTGACGGTTATCATGAACCCATTACCGCTTTTCTTATACTTGCATTCAGTATATACTAAAACAGTGGATAGTGCTTTTCGCGCGCTCTGATTGGCTACTCAGTCAGTGAATATCCTGCATTAGTAAAATCCAACTAGCTGTCTATTATCAATGCTTCGTTCTTATTGGTTGAGCTACTACTAGCCTCTATGTTATAGCTCACTGATAGCGAAAAGCTTTTTGGCGGCAAAAAAGGATTAAAGTCTGGCTTTAACTAGCTAAAGTTGTTTTGTCTCGATATTTTTGACCAACTAGTTGGATTTTACTCATGGCCTCTGAGTCGGCCTCATGGGCTATTGACTCAGAGCCCATTCAGGCTCGAGGAATAATAGGCCACTTGCACTAAGAGGTCACGTGACCAATGCTTCCTTTAAACACTGAGTTGGAATCTGATGCCAAAAATTGATAGAGCACATAAAAAGTATCTTACACCCGAAATTTTAGAGGAAACGTATTCAAGGGAGATGTTTTATGGCACTTTGATTTTTCAACAAAGTAGTATTATTTGTATTGGCCGCCATGTTGTAGGGCATACTCTTGCCCTCCAACATGGCGGCCAAAACTACTTTTTGCTTATACCTTGTTAAACGTTTGATAGTTAGGCTCAGATGTGCTGTAAACATTACCACATCATCTTTTCCACATTTTCCTTGAAGTTTGAAGTGCAAAATTTGTGTTCAGAAAGAGGTAATTCATAATTTGAAAAATCACACTTAGGTCACGTGACCAGCTACGATTTTACTCATTTTAAGAAAACGGTGCGGGTTTTTCATAAAAACGATGTCACATGACCTCTTAGTGCAAATGGCCTTTGTTAACTATTCACTGATTCACCCACAGGTAACCCAGGCTCTGCGATAGTACCACAGTACGATTCCAGTAAAATTAAAAATACCATCCTAAAATTTATAGGAAATACTAAATAAAGATCAATGAAACTTACGCTGCAGTTAATTGTTGTTGTCCTTATTGCTTCAAGGAAGTTTCGTGACAATTTGCAGTAATTTGTTCAAATTCACTCTATCTACAATAATAATATACAAGGTAGGAAACATGAGATGCCATTTTCGCCCACATGCTCTCATTCAACACAACTTTTTCCACAAAATTCGAACTCCAACGGAAAATGGACATGCCAGGATCGTAGAAATAAGATAGCAGCAGATATAGAAACCAATGAAACTTTCCCAGGTAGAGAAACGAATCCCACAGACTTTAACAAACTCGAAGGATAGAATCCAAACAGACCGAGAATATGCTCGCCGAAGCAGCCGAGCCAGATCAAAGCGCGGCCGAGAAAATGAGGCCTGGGCACTGTACTTAAAATTCCATCCCGGGAGTCCTGAGGTGACCTTTCTGGGGACCGATAAATCACTTGCTCAAAGCCACCCTACCCTGCTGAAAAAATACTTGATAGAAGGCAACGAATTATCCGTCAGTCGACTAATTCGTCTAACGTCGCTTGTATCTAACAAATGAAAAACATAACAACGAATGGCAATGGACATCATTAGCGCTTTTCTATTTCTTCTTGTGCGCTGTTCCTCAGTTGTAGCTGATCTCTCACCTAGATGACCATGCTATTCTCCCCCCCGGAAGGGGACGGGGGGTCTCACTCCGTATATTGGCCTGTACGGAAAGAGCCCAACCAGGGTCGCTCAGTAGGCACGGGTAGGAGAGAACCCTGGGAACGAGGTTGCTGACAACCCTGCACAGCCATTTTTTCTTCACCTTCTAAAGACAAACAACCATCAATTAGTGATCAATATTCGAAAGATATCAAGTCGTCATACAACAGCAACGCGTAAAAGTATCCATATCTTTCTCCTTCTTCCCCTCGGGAGTCGTAAACGTCTGCTGTCTGTAGCGATCAGATAGGCGATCTGAGGAGGGTTGACATTACCCGAAACGACTCAATAATCCTTTACAAAATCGTCCATTAAACTGTTTTCCTTTTCTTTTTTTTTCTTTTTTTTTTTTCACACTTACTAGCCAAGCATGATAACACAATACAGTTGCTAAGGTTATTGAAAAATATTTACCTCAAAGTGACAGTCAATACATAGCAAATTCATTCAAGAAACGTTCGGCAGCCTTCGAAATCCATTGAACGGGCGGCCCAGGAGCTTTAGACACGTCAAATAGCTTTTTTTAGCGTCAGCCAAACCGAAAATTATTTTCGCTGTGGCTGCCTCGGCAAGCCATCAATCAACCATCGAGGTGTTTCTCGGGATATTGTCTGTTTCTCTGAGAAAGCCCCCTGATCGGCGAACGCTGCCCGAAATATTTTAATTTCTCTCTGTAAGGTACCGATCAAATGTTGCTCAGTGATTTCTGTTATTCTCTTTAAGCTTCCGATCGGGCAACAGAGACTTGCCCCTGTGTATCAGAACCCCTACTGTATATACTACTGTTCACTTGTTGATCTGCTAAATATCATACTGTTTTCTTTGGATGCCTTGCCGGTTCTGCAGCAAAGATGTTTTCAGTGAACAGAAATAACGGCTCTGCCATCTTCGAACGGCGTTTTTCGGCAAAATTACACGTTGCAAATGGGTTGAATACAACATTTTCCACCCTTCCTAGAGTTAGGGTTAGGACGGGTCGTGTTCCATATTACGTTGCAGCCGAAAACACAGTTCGCATGCATTTGTTTAGTGAACTAGCTGTGATGTTATATAATTGATTATTAGTTGTTATAATTGGTCTTTTTTTTCATACCCGGCTTTATTTATTTTATTTATTTATTTATTTATTTATTTACATTTGCCACATGAAATAGATATTACAGAAAGAAAATGGAAAAAAAAATGTATATTATCATTAAGATTGCACAATTTACAGGGCAGGAAAAGCTACAAACAAAAAAAAGTTCAAAATTAAATGTAATATTGAGTGACTTAACTTTTGCAATAGATAGAGTGGCGAGGAAGCCCAATAGAAGCTAAACAGCTTGTAGAAAATTGGGTTCCTCACACTTAATTATGATATAATGTCAGCTGCGGCCATATCATGGTCAGGCGAGTTTAATTAACAGCTCTCTCGATGAGGTATTTTTTTAATGAAGTCTTGAAACTAGTCAAGAGTAACTTGCCAGTTCAGTAAGATTATGGGGAAGGGTTTTCCATAGTTTAGATCCTAGATAAAACGTTAATCTTCCACTGCATCGGCGGCACAGCAACTCACAAGTCTCTTAAGAGGCTGGCGATAGTTACTGTTAAGAGTGAGGCAGATAATCGGGTTAATAGCACAGTTTACGTAAGTCATAAACAAGGTGACAATAAAGTATAGATAAAAACTACAAGAAGAAAAAATACGACTGTCTGGTGCACTGAAACCGACTATTATCCCGTTACTGAGTAAGGGTATCCAGCAAATGAAAAACACTACCACGATAGCAATAGCCATCTTAAGCACGTTTCTGTTTCTTCTTGTCCTCTGTTCCTCAGCGTTGGCTGACTGTTCACCTGGATGGACTTGCTTTTTAAGCTTGATCAGGATGATGGAGTACAGTATCACCAAGAGGACAAAGGGAATGTAGAAAAACACGATAGCACCTGCTAAGACGTAATTTGGATATGTGTTTCCCCCGAAGGCTTCCTGCCACAGACTTTTGCACATCAGTCGTTCTGGGTATTTAACAAGTTTATAAGCAACAAGATATGGCGAATGAACGGCCATTGCAACGATCCAAGTAGCGACAATGAAAAATAGATACAGCTTTCTACTTACGAGAGGGGAACGGAGTGGAACTACAACAGCTACAAATCGATCCACTGTTATCAAAACAAGGCTCTGAATGGACACTAACGAGGAAACATCAGCAAAAAAAATATGTATCTTGCACAAGGCCTGACCAAGTGTACCACCAATAAGCCACGAGCCAGCGTGCCCTTCTGCCAGACGAACAGGGAACAAGAATATTGGATAGAGCAGGTCGGACATGGCCATGTTTGCGATCAACATATTTATCGGTTTTCTCAAAGTTGGTGTTTTGTAAACAATTAATACGATGAGAGAATTCCCAACCAACGAAACAACAAGTATCAGGCTCAGAGCAACCGTTTGCCCAGTTTTTAGTGTTTCTGGATTTATCAAACTGAAGCAGCTTCCATTTGCTGTTCTGTCCATGCTTACTGATTCTTCGACAGGTCTGTTCTCTTGAGTCTCTTACTTACAAAAACATCTTCTGTTCTTTCATTTTGGTCTATATATAATTCTACCATTGACAACATTTAGGTGCCATTATATATCAGCAAACTGATATAGTTTCTCCGATTGAATTGTCAATCTAAAGTCAATAAATCGTGCCATATTAAAAATGCTAAATAAGTTCTCATTAAATATTAAAGAACTTAATTTGAACCTGCCTTCCGTCCCCCCCCTCCTTCATAGTGCTGAAATATTACAGAATATTTTTGTTTCTTATCCATAAAATGGTTCAATACAATGATAAACATCTTCGGTCTCGTCTTATTCATTTTCAACTACTTCGCCTACGATTGTTCTGTTAGAGGACTCCTGTAGCGTGCCCTCTCAGTACTGGTTTTAAAGGGGCAATATCACTTGTTTGTTTTTTTTTTTTACCTAGGATAGCAACATCCTCATGACATAGCCCACTTAAACTCTCTAAGCTGGTACCTAAAATAAAGAAGGTACAAATATTATTGCAGAAAGAAGCCGTGACAATAATGATGCTATCAATTGATAGTAATCCATTTGATGTTGCATTGAACTGAACACACAATAATCGACAGTTATTCCACGAGAGCGCGCGTTGGCCGGATACGTGCAGGCCTTACGTACCTCGTTGGCCATATTATATCTCATATCCCGTAAGCGGGGGTGGAATGATTGTTTTATTAAAAACACCCAATGCCATACAATATCAATGATTGATTCTCTCCGAATAAAATAAGAATAATAAATATGAATAAAACAATCGGAGAGAGACTTTAGAGACTTTCACACTCGCCGCATGTCTATATCGATTAAACTTTTGCATTTGCGTCAACGCCAACGAACCAATTGACGAATACTCATTTCCAGAAATTAAAAACGCCAAGAATAGCTATGACCTGTATTACCATTGACATTAATGGTGGCACACCTGTTCGTAAATATCTAAAAATTAGCTTAGCTAATTTCCACTTTCTCCCTAAGCTATCTTTCACTCACTTTTGTCTCTATTATTGTCGCAGACGGTGTAAAGTCAATTCTGTATTAACTAGTGCTTAACTTGATATAACTATACAACTTTGCCTTCCCATCTGCGACTAGAGCAACTCTCACGCCCCAAACTTCCCGTTTGTTTGATATCTTGACATACGCACGCTGACGCATGAACTAATTGTGTTAAAAATAAACTTTCGCCTGTTTGTCGATAACGCAGATGGTATAAAGTCAAATTTGTATTGACTGCCAACTTTCTATAACAATACAATTTCGTCTTCCCGTTTGAAAACGCGCTAATTACCTCCTATCCTACGCTTGTTCAAAGTAAGGTCCACCAAATTAAAAAGAAATACATTTTTTAAGACCCCAACTGAAAACCATCCTTTGTTTTTTGAAAAAAAAAGTTAAGGGAAAGACAGCTTACTAGATAAAGCTAAACTTTATAGACCATTAATTGCTTTGTTTTATCGATTTTATTTTCAAAGTTCTTTGTATTGATCGGTCTATGTTTAAAGGCAGTTTATTCAAACACGGTATATTTGTATATTTTTTTTTCCTTCATAAGAGCACCTTATGTTGCTGACATCTTTATTGCAAATTACAAAAACGCGTTGAATTTTGTAAACGCATCCTATGTAAAAAAAGCCTGTGTTCCTGTTTTTCGAGTCCGTTTTCATTTTTGAAAACATGGTTTAATTAAACATGTTTAGTTAGTTTGAATGGGGCACCATGGGGCGCCTAGACAAGTCATCTACTCCTTCTACAGAGGACCTCGTTATCGGCGGCAATTTTGTTTTCGTGTGTGCATGTTAGTTTTAAATTAAAGTTACTGAAAAAGATACCACTCAACTGTCCCTGAGTTTAATGTTGTGACATAAACGTTGCTTTGGTGTCTTATGACGCCTACTTTTGATGAAACCTTTGAGGAATTAATATTCTCAATATTATAAATGCAAATAACAATTTAAAAAAATGAATTCTGAAAAAAAAAGAAGACTAAATTATATTCATGAACTACATTGTCTATTGGTCGACCTTTGCAAATTTGTGTTTCATAGTTAGACAATTCCTATCTATTCGCATTTATTTATTCACTAATTTATGTTCGGTTTACACGATTTGAGATCACCAAAGGTAAGGTCTACACTGTTTATACCGCATTCTTGTGCCTCTTACATTATGCTTCTGCTACCACTTCATTTCAATTAATACAGTCATTCACAGATGAATTCATCCTCGCGATCAACTCCTTTTAGAACTCTTAAAACTCGTCGACCCTATCGCAGTTCAAGTTAAATTTGGGTAACGGAACACCATTAGCTGTTGCAGCTAATCTCAAAAGCACAGCTTCGCTCTTTTTCAGTTAGATCGCTAAATTCCTGTTTAGTTTAACAAATTGTCGATTCAGTCGGATCTCAGCGGTTGGTGCAACAACAACTTTAGCACAATTATTGAGCAAACAATGGAATATTGCCAATAATGTGGAAGACAAAAAATAAAATACCGTGTTCAAAGAGGTCAAATTTGCCGGGATAAAACATACACACACAAGTCATAATTACTAAAAGAAAAGCTAAATCAACTACAAATAGAATTTTGTTTGCTAAATCTTTGACGCGTTGCATATAAATTTGGCATTCACTGGCCTTGCAGAACCCAGAATCAGAATGCCAATAATAAGATGTGGTTTATAAAATATTTCAGCATTACATGTTCAATATGGAATCCAGGCATTTGCTAAATTTTAAGCGTCCAGAATGCACTAGATTGCATCTCAGAGGATTTCAATCTCAAAATTTTTCCCGGAGGAGCATGCGACCGAAACTCCTAGAGAAGTGCGCCGTTCGCAGTCCTGACGGGCGCTATGGCGCCCATATTGCTATTGTATACTATTTCTCTGGGCCCCCTCTACCACAAAATCCTCCGTCCGCCCCTGATATTCTACCATCGAAAACACTTAAGCACCATTACATTTTAATTGTCATCAGATAATTCTCTTCGCACTCCCGCATGCAGGGGTTTGAGTGTTATATGGTTGTTAAGTCAATTTTTAAAGCTAATAACTTTGGATCCTATTATTGAGCAGCGAACTGAGGCAAACAATTATGCAAGTAAAGATATCATTGTTCCATCTAAGCTACTGATCAGTTTTTAAGTGTATATATGAATTCAAAGGACGCACATATCAAAAGATGAATAAATACTTCCATAAATCGTTGATAATTAAGCAGCCCATAGCGCCAGAATATTCTTAAATCCTTTTTTTTTTCCAATTGTAGAGAAACAATAAAAATAACGTTTTCAGTACAATGTTAACCATCCTCGGTCTCGTTTAAATCATTCCAAACTACAAATCGCTTCACGGTCGTTCTACAGTGCAACCTCGATAAAATAACGAAGGGCCAAGCAAGAAACTGACAAAATTTGGAGGCTACACCGAGGTTTCGGTATATCGAGGTTCTTTTGGGTATATTTTACTATTACTGGTGTAAAGAAAGTCGTTCGTTATACCGAGGACTTCGTTATATAGAGGTTCGTTATATCGAGGTTCCACTGTATACTATCAGACGGCCCACCTGCTCCTCTTTGGTGCTAACTGGGCTATGTCAGGTTATTTTTTATATCACTTATTAATAAGCACAGACCTAACAGCAATATTCTCATGACATATCACCTTTAAACTCACGCAGATGATCGGTACCTGAAATAAAGAAGGTACAAATTTTACACAAGGTTTTAAAGTGATAATCATGATTCTTTTAATAGAAATCCATTTGATGTTGCATTTAATTGTACGTCACGCACAATAATTAACAATTATTCCAAAGTGCTCGAGTTGAATGCGTGCCTACGTGACGCGTTGGCCATAAACATATCATATTCAGCAAGTGCGTGCAGATGAATTGTTTGATTAAAAACGGCTATAAAATATCAGTGATCGATCTTTTCCGAAAAGAAAAATTATTAATAAACCGAAAGAGATATTAGAGACTTTCATACTAGTGCCAGATGTCTATATCAATTAATAAAAACTTTTGCATTTGCTTCAACGCCAACGGACCAATAACCTGCCACCAGGCTACGCAGTGGGTTAACGGGCGAAAGAGAAAAATCGGCGTGCGGAGCGAGCGGAGCCTAGTTCCAGGCTAACGGACCAATTGATGAATAGACCAGGGCGGATAAAGTTGTTAGTTGTAGGGTTTTTTCTCAGTTTTTCTCTCTAAAACAAAACAAGGTAGACAGTAAAAACTGAGGGGAAACTAATTTTGAAGTTTCGAAGAAACAGAAAGACGTATGAGATGTTTTTTTCAAAATTAAAAAGAAGGATGTTGGTGATTGAAATTAGCATAATTTCACCTTGCACGAGCTGCACGCATTTATAAAATACACGTCATCTAGTTACGAAACACGATCTGCTGTCTTTTAGTTTTGCCATGGATGACATGGATGAGATTTTCCTTCGTGTTTTAGACAGTATTTAGTTGTTTTTGTTTTGGAATAACATCGACATTGGCGAGTAGCAGAACGAAAATATAATTCAGTGGTAGAGTCATGGAAGTAATAAAAGAAACCCTTTGAAAGAGATGTTTGTCTACTCCAACTAAACCTCCCGCAAAAAATAGCAATATTTGCCTCTCGGAGACAGCGTACCAGCACAAAGGGACGAGGAAGAAGTGCAAGAAAACAAATCAAGCCGCCATAATTCAGTGACAGCGGCAGTGTCTAATGCACAAACAACTTCGCAAGCCCTGACCGAAGTCGAAAACAAGCGACATTTCTAAGCAGAGTCCCAGTCCACTGCATCACACCTTTTTGCTCGGACGCGCTCGTTTCACCGCCCAACCTTTATCCGCCCTGGAATAGACATTCTAGAAAAGCGCCACGAATAAGTATGATCTGACTAAGAACATTTATGGTGGTGCACACTGATCTGTTCATAGTTAATTTACTAAAAACATCTGAAAATTTATTTTTCCTTGAGCTCACGTCCACTTTCTTCTTAAGCTCTATTTAATACAAGCGCAGATGGTGTTAAGTCAATTCTGTTATTAACCTGTGGTTAACTAGCTATAACTAACGATAATTAATACTTCGTTTTTCCGTGTGCGTCTTGAGCAGCTCTTATGCCCAAAACTTTACAATGCTGTTAACATACACACGCTGACGCATGAACTAATATTATTGTTATCGTAAAATAAACATTTATTATAATTTTTCCTCTAATTAATTTTGTAAATGACGCAGAGGGTATAAAATTATATTTGTATCACCCGCCAACTTTCTATAACAATAAACTTCATCTTCCCGTTTAGAAACAAAATAAAAGGGATGGTATTAGCCTGCAGCAAGAAAGAGGTCTTTGATTAGTATTCATTGTAAATATTTTGGCCTACTTCAACAAAGATAAAGAGGTTAAGAAGATCAAGCAACGTGCCTTGCCTCGTTAGCCATGAAATCATCCCATATCCAGAAGGCGGGGGATGGAATGATTGTTTTATTAAAAACACCCATAAAATATCAATGATCGATTCTTTCCCAATAAAATATGAATAAATATGAATAAATCGAAAGACACATCATAGACTGTCACACTGGTGCCACATGTCTATTAATCTTCAAAACTTTGGCATTTGCGTAAACGCCATCGGACTAAGGCTGATGACTAGATTTCTAAAAAAAAAACGCCACAAATAGTTATGATCTGAGCGACCATTAACATTTATACTGGCACACCTGCTCGTAGTTAATTTACTACAAACGTCTGAAAAATCATATTTTCCCTGAGCTAACTTTCACTTTCTCCCAAAGTTAACTTTCACTAACTTTGCCTCTAAAAGATACCCCTCAACCTTCGCTTCGTTTAATAAAGTCACAAAAACGTTGCTTAAGTCTCTAATGACGCCTACTTTTGATGGAACCTTTGAGGAATGTTGTCAATATAAATGCAACCAGCAATTTAAAAAAAGAATTGATCATGAGTTCCAGATGGGTCACAATGAAAACTACTGGGACCTGAAAGAATCAAAGGGATTGTTTCAGCCGATCGCAAAAAGAGGAATTTCATTAGCATTCATGAGATGCTCTTCTTAGCATCTAAGTATATATTTTGGCCTATACACCAACAAAAAATTAAGCAAACAATTTTGAAACCGGTCAATAGATTGAAAAAATGAAATTCTCGTTTACAGTCGTTTTATAAGAGCTAATTACAAATTTTGTAAGACAATAAAAGAAGGGCTACAATGCGCTTTTTTTCTTGGGAAGGGGTGGGGTTGTGGTCAATTTTGTGTTTACAATACCCTAATAGGAGAGATTTCTTTCTGTTCCGACATGGCTTTTAGCATTTACTAAGTTGTTCGCGTCACCCTTAGTCAAGTGGTTGGATTATTTAAGCCCCGCGAACGACTTTAAAATTGGTAAAAGCCATGCCGTAAAAAACCTTTGCTCTAAAGGTATGTTTAAAGGTAAGAGTCTCTCATTTAATTAGGGCTTCTGAGTTTTATTTTACGTGAGCACCAAGCAGTAACTTACAACGCATTTGAAATATACAGAAATGTTCAACTTTTTGCCGATGAAGTAAATTGGTAAAAACACCAACATCTCCAAATTCCAATTCGACCAGGAATCAGGTAGACGAAGAACCACTATGTGGATGTGCTACCTGCAAATCGTTATTTACTTATTTATTTATTTATTTATTTATTTATTTTATTTAAATGACTAGTATATGTATGTAACCGCTCGGCAGCTATCATATATGTTTGATACAAAATTATAACACTGTGAAATCGTACTCAATACCGACATCAATGAACTACATACAAAGCAGGGATGTGTGTACTTTACAAAGAGCATTTGAATCTCTGACGTTTGAAACGGTTACACTTTACTTTTTATTTGTTCCACGAGTTTTCAACTCAAGATTAAGGAGCCATATCTTCGTTTCCAAAGGGAACAACCTTCCAGCAATTAATTGCGCAATGTGAATGGTCTGTGGCTTTTTTAGTCAGTATAGTGCACTCTGACAATCAAAACAGCGAATTCTGGTCAGACAGTGAACTTGAGGAAAAGACATAATTAAGAAAAACTTATATTCATGAACTACATTGTTTGTTGGTCGACCTTTGCAAGTTAGCGTTTCATAGTTAGACAATTCCTATATATTCGCATTTATTTATTCACTAATATGTTCGGTTTACATTATTTGAGATCGCCAAAGGTAAGGTCTACACTGTTTATACCGCATTCTTGTGCCTCTTACATTATGCTTCTGCTACCAGTTCATTTCAATTAATACAATCATTTACAACTGAATTCATCCTTGCAATCAACTCCTTTTGGAGCTCTTAAAACTCGTCGACCCTATCGCAAGTTACATGAAATTTGAGTAACGGGACACCATTAGCCATTTCAGCTGATCTCAAAAGCACAATTTCGCTCTTTTTCAGTTAGATATCTAAATTCCTGTTTAGTTTAACAAATTGTCGATTCAGTCGGATCTCAACGGTTGGTGGAACAACAACTTTAGCAAAATTATTAAGCAAACAATGCAATATCATCAATAATAAAGAAGACAAATAAAATACCGTGATCAATGAGGACAAATTTGCCGGGATAAAACTCACGTACACACAAAAGTCACAATTACTATGTAAGAGCAAAGTTAAATCAACTACAAATGGAATTTTGTTTGATAAATCTTTGACCCGTTGAATAAACGTGGTTATTCACTGGTCTTGTAGAACTCAGAATCAGAATGTCAATAATAAGGTCATCATAGATATATGTTATTCACCGGCTGCAAGGTCAGTATTAGGAGAAACTGTACCCGATGTCTTGAGTATCGGCCGAGGGCGGTACTCAGATTTCATTGCTTCAGACCTAGCTTTCAGTTTTCAAGAGTTACTCTTGAACTGCATCGCAGCATCTCACAAGTCTCTTAAGAGCGTGGTGATAGTTGTTGCTAGACAAGAGGCAGATAATCGGGTTGATAGCATAGTTTGCGAAAACAATAAACTGGCTGACAATATAGTATACCATAGCAATACAGGAAGACAGAAGGTCCGGTGCAAAATAAGATATTATTCGGTCAAATAAAAGGGGTGCCCAGCAAATGAAAAACGCTAAATTAATAGCTGTGGCCATCTTGAGCACTTTTTTGTTTCTTCTTGTCCGCTGTTCCTCAATATTCGCTGACTGTTCACCTGGGTGAACTTGTTGCTTAAGCTTGATCAGGATGATGGAGTAAAGTATTAGTAAGAGGACAACAGGGATACAAAAGAACACGATGGCTTCTACTAGGTCGTAAATAAAAAGTGAGTTTGTCTCTCCGAAGGCCTCCTCCCACTGAAGCTCGCACCACATTCCCTCTGGCTCCAAATCGTTCCGCTGATATCAGAACAAGGCTCTGAATCGATTCCAAAGTGGAAACGTATATGAGAAAAGCATATATCTTGCACAAGGCCTGACCAAGGGTACCACCAATAAGCCACGAGCCAACGAGCTAATCTGCCAGTCTAACAGGGAACAAGAATATCAGAAAGAGTAGGTCGGATATGGCCATATTTGCGATCAACATATTTATCGGTTTTCTCAAGGCTGGCGTTTTGTAAACAATTAATACGATGAGAGAATTTCCAACCAGCGAACTAAGAAGAATCAAGTTGTAAGCGACGGTTTGTCCAATTTTGTCTGCTACTGGATTTATCAGTCTGGAACAGCTCCAGGAACTTGATCCATTCTCTGTTGTGTTCATGCTTACTGATTCTTCGACAGGTCTGTTCTCTTGAGTCTCTTGCTTACAAAAACATCTTCTGTTCTTTTCTTCTTTGAATTGTCAATCTAAAGTCAATAAATGGTCCCATATTAAAAATGCTAAATAAGTTCTCATTGAATAACTATGTTTAAAGGCAGTTTAGTCAAACACGGTATAATTTTTTTTCCTTCATAAGAGCACCTTATGTTGATGACGCCTTTATTGCAAATTACAAGAACGCGCTGAATTTGTAAACGCATCCTGTGTAAAAAAAAAACTTGTGTGTTCCTGTTTTTCGAGTCCGTTTTCATTTTTTAAAACATGGTTTAATTAAACATGTTTAGTTAGTTTCAATGGGGCACCATGGGGCACACCTAGACAAATCATCTACTCCTTCTACAGAGGACCTCGCTATCGGCGGCAATTTTGTTTTTGTGTGTTCGTGTAAGTTTTAAATTAAAGTTACTGAAAAAGATACCACTCAACTGTCCCTGAGTTTAATATTGACACATAAACGTTGCTTTGGTGTATTATGACGCCTACGTTTGACAAAATCTTTGAGGAATATTGTCAATATTAAATGCAAATAAAAATTTAAAAAAAAATGAATTCTAAGAAAAGAAGAAGAAAAAATTATATTCATGAACTACATTGTCAGTTGGTCGACCTTTGCAAATTAGCGTTTCATAGTTAGACAATTCCTATATATTAGCATTTATTCATTTACCAATATTTATGTTCGGTTTACATTATTTGAGATCACCAAAGGTAAGGTCTACACTGTTTTTACCGCATTCTTGTGCCTCTTACATTATGCTTCTGCTACCAGTTCATTTCAATTAATACAGTCAGTTACAGCTAAATTCATCCTTGCAATCAACTCCTTTTGGAGCTCTTAAAACTCGTCGACCCTATCGCAATTTACATGAAATTTGGGTAAAGGAACACCATTTAATAGCCGCTGCAACTGATCTCAACAGCACAGCTTCGCTATTTTTCAGTTAGATAGCTAAATTCCTGTTTAGTTTAACAAATTGTCGATTCAGTCGGATCTCAGCGGTTGGTGGAACAACAAATTTAGCAAAATTATTAAGCAAACAATGCAATATTACCAATAATAAAGAAGACAAACAAAATACCGTGATCAATGAGGACAAATTTGCCGGGATAAAACTAACGTACACACCAAAGTCACAGTTACTAAGTAAGAGCAAAGTTAAGTCAACTACAAATGGAATTTTGTTTGCTAAATCTTTGACGCGTTGCATAAAACGTGGTTATTCACTGGTCTTGTAGAACTCAGAATCAGAATGTCAATAATAAGGACATCATGGGTATATGTTATTCACCGGCTGCGAGGTCAGTATTGGGAGAAACTGTACCCGAGGTCTTGAGTGCTTCAGACCTAGATTTCAGTTTTCAAGAGTTACTCTTGAACTGCATCGCAGCATCTAACAAGTCTCTTAAGAGCGTGGTGATAGTTGCTGCTAATAAACATGAGGGAGATAATCGGGTTGATAGCACAGTTTGCGAAAACAATAAACTGGCTGACAATATAGTATACCATAGCAATACAGGAAGACAGAAGGTCCGGTGCAAAATAAGATATTATTCGGTCAAATAAAAGGGGTGCCCAGCAAATGAAAAACGCTAAATTAATAGCGATGGCCATCTTAAGCACTTTTTTGTTTCTTTTTGTCCGCTGTTCCTCAATATTCGCTGACTGTTCACCTGGGTGAACTTGTTGCTTAAGCTTAATCAGGATGATGGTGTAAAGTATTAGTAAGAGGACAATAGGGATACAAAAGCACACGATGGCTTCTACTAGGTCGTAAATAAAAAGTGAGTTTGTCTCTCAGAAGGCCTCCTCCTACTGAAGCTCGCATCACATTCCCTCTGGGTATTTAACAAGTTTGAAGGCAAACAAATAGGGCGAAAAAAAGGCTGCTGCGAAGATCCATGTACCAACAATCAAATAGGGACATAGCTTCCGATTGATGAAGGGTGGTCGAAGTGGAACTACCACGGCTCCAAATCGTTCCGCTGATATCAGAACAAGGCTCTGAATCGATACCAACGTGGAAACGTCTGAAAGAAAAACATGTATCT